CCTGCTCTCTTGCAATGCTGGAGAAGAAGCATGGCACTTCCTGTATAACAGTTCATATATGATGATGTAGTTTCATACGAATCTAATATTTTGAACAGGAAAAGACAAACATGTTTTATTTTCCAGTGCACTCGTATTAACAAGAAAGGGCAGGCAATTAAAAACAACAGAAAACCACCTTAACAAGAGCTGTACGTTAAAAGCAAGCAACTGCAAGAAGAAGAACTGTACGTTACCTCCAGTGTCAGATTCATTGTCCCTCTGAATGCTACTTGGTGGGAAAATGTGTCCCTGTCTTGCCTCTGGATTCCCATCAGTGTTTGGTTAGACACAATATGAATAAAAAACCGGACATGATTCGTGATAGGCTAATCTGGAAGCGCTACTTCCTTCCATATTCAATTAGAAGGAAAGAGAGACAGAAAAATATTGTTCTTTCCATCCTACATATGAAGAAATGTGGTGATATTGGGCAATTCTAGGAATTCAACTCTGTTGAACCTGTTCATTCCACAGATTGGCATGTGCTTTTCATTCTGCTGCATGCTCATTCTCAGAACTGGAATTTGCTGGCCTGTGTTCATTTGTTGTTGCCATGGGCTGCTAAGTCATCTCTGGCTTATGGCAACCCTATGAATGAAAGCTCTCCAGAAAGTCCTATCCAGGACTGCCCTGCTCAGCTATTGTAAATTCAGACTGGGGCTACTTTATGGAGTCAACCCGTTTCTTATTTGCTCTTCCCTTTCTTCTCCTGTCTTCTACTTCACCTAGCATGATTGTCTTCTCCAATGGGCCTTGCCTTTTCTTGTTATGTCCAAACACATTTGCACTCCCCAAACTATGAAAATCCCTCCAAAACGTGCATTTTCTAACCTTAGTCTACAAAGGAAAATAGTATTTTCAGTCTGTATTTCTTTATATAACTATGACCAAGTCTACATAATATTATGGAAAGCAAAAAGCATGGCTGACAAGTCTATACAGCTCTGAGGATCAATACATCTCAGAGGAAGCCAGTTTACTATGGAATCTGTGGATAAGATTCATAAAAATCTAAATGCATTTGAGTCCACTGCAAATTTCTCTACCTTCTGAGTAAATTCTTATGTAATCTGAAATGAAATGATCAGGCATGTGCTCTGGCTGATTCCAAATGTGAAGGTACGAAAAGAACCTTCTTGTTCCTGTTTGCCATGTTAAAAAAGAGGGTCAATTGCAGATGGTCCCCTAATTTCAGCACCACAAAGATGCTTAAAAACATAAAGATAAAAGAGTTTTCCAAATACTATCTATATTAAAAATCAACTGAAATGAAATTCCAACTATCCCTAAGATAAGAAAAGCTAACAGCCTTAACTTGTAGAATTTTCTATTTCTAAGAACAATAAAAATAACAGCTTTCTATCTTTCATCAAAATACTCAAAACAATTTACATATACCCATGTTATTAAATGATCTAAAATAATAAAAAATGTAAAACAAAGGAGGAAATGTAGAAAGAAAGAAAATTAAATTAACCTGTGTTCAGTAGGCAAGTTCAGAGTGTCAAGATAAGAGGACAGATTGAAAAAAAATCAGTCCCAAAATAGTTCTGCCTCTGACCAAGAGGCACAGAAGATTGGTTCACATCACACATTCCCTGATAGGCACCACATAGGTATAATTCACTTCTTGAAATCCCTTCCTTAGCAAAAGGTTGCATCTTTTTAATATAGAAATTTTTGACAGTCTTTTATATGCAGCCTAATTTCTAATGTGACTGTTCATTAAGCCACAATCGGCTTTGGCACAATATTGTACGTTCCTGCCATATAAACACAATTAATCATGATTAATACCACAATGACTCTTCAAAAGCGGTTATGATTATGTTCCATTTATAATAAAGTGTTGCCATTATGTTCTACAGCATATGATAGCCTGGCTGATAAGTAAAATGTATATAATAAAAGGGGTTGATGAATAGGTTATGATTTACAACAGCTTCTCTTTCTTTTGCTTCATGTATAATGAGATATATCAAAGAGGTTTATTTAAGACTGTGGCCTCATTCAGTTATCTTTTGGTTGTTGTTGTTAAGCTTGAAATTAGTCGGCTCAGCAGTTCCTTCTGAAAGAATCAAAACCGAGTATATGGTTTTCTACTTTATGGACGCTGTGTATTGCTTCTTTACTCTTAGCAATATGTCTACACCAAGTCTATCTTAAAATAATTCAAGAATACAAATACTCAGTTAGAATCTTTGAGATGTTAGAACTTGCTAGGTTGGCGTTTCTAAGGCTCAAATCTTAATAATTCCTTCTTTGGAATGACACACTTATAAGTGACCAGGTTTGTAGAATGGAGTCACAGAAGTATTGGAAGAAGTTTAGCATTTGTACATAATTCTACAGTCTAATGAGTTTTCACAGCAGCTTACATGCAATCAGGTTATGAATGTGTGGAAGTGTGTGTGTGTATACAATCAAGGTGCATGAAAAGAAGCAACACATATAAAGAAAGACGTGAAGGAACTGGATATATTTGGACTGGAGATGAGAAGACTTCTTCAAATAATAGGGCAGGGTGAGAATTTTATTTCAGTTTGGTGTGATAAGAATCTGATTCCTATTGAGTTTTATTTACATTCTTTTATCATTTTATTTTTGATGAGCGTGGGAGCAACCATTTGTTCCTCCAGGTCCAGGATGTTGTCTCCTCTTCAGTGTATGTGTGACAGACTGTGCATGGGTTGAAAGTTGGCAACTTCCACTCCTCCACCTGGAAGTAATTGTGGTATCCTGGAAGAAGGTGAGAACTGGCTCGCACATTCCACTAATCAGCACATGACACAACAGGAAATATGTAAGCTGACCAAGGACAGAAGGGAAAGAGCAGTGGATGGAGAAGACCCCTGTGCATGAAGCTGTGCAGCCGAAAGGTAAGGTTCAATTTAGAAAGTTGCTATAAAATGATAAGATATATGTACAAAAATGTTAGCTGCTAAAATGAGCTAGCTATCTCTTCTGGTTTAGAAAGCCCAAACAAGCTCTGAAGGGGTTTATCTTTAATAGTTTATCACAGTCTGGATCTGAAACCCTGTTCAGGCATGTTAGTGCTAAATTTGGATTGCCACACTTTTTATATAGCTTCCACATCTTTAACAACTATAGGGCAGGTTATATGGTCCTCTCCATAATGCGGGATTGCAGGAAAAAGTGCAACTAACAGATGCATCCATCTCTATCAAATACCCAGAGAGCTGTCACACAGAAGAGGATAAAAACATATTTTCTGCTGCCTCAAGGGGCACGAGTAGATCTAATGGGCTTAAGTTACAAGAGCGTAGATTTTTGTTGAACATTTGACAAGGTAACCAATTGCCTAAGGAGGAATGGTATCCCTCTCTGTGGAAGTCTTCAGGAAGAGGTTAGATAGACACCCAATGATCTAAGACCTCCACAACATCTGTGATTCTATGAAACTACAAAGAGCTTCACGTATCATGTCGCTTGTATCGAAGTAGCTTCATGTATCATGGAGCATGCTATCAAAATTTTAAAGCAAGGAAGGCTACATAGGAAGGGGACAAAGGTTAAGAACTAATAAAGAGCCCTTCTGGATCAGACCAAACATCCATTTAGTTCATCATCATATTTCACATTATGGTAGAACTATGATTTTCAGAAGCCCTCAAGCAGAGCATCAAGCAATTGGCAGTAGATTCTGGAGAGACCCCCAGTAGTCTGTAGTTCTTTGCAGAACATAAGTTTAATTCAAGGACAAAATATGCATATTGCTGCTAACCTGGATGGCTTTAAGGGGATTGGGAAGATGCATGGCAGATGGGTGGGGATGCATAAGAATTTCATTCAGTTCATTTGCAGCTTCCCAGTTGAACACCGTCTTAGACACAATATGCAGTAAAAGTCCATACATTTCTGACTCTGTAATGTGATTCATCTCCTCCCCCTCCAAAGTGTTGGATAGCATGTGTACTTCTAAAATTAACTGCATCTCAAGAATGAATACATTTACAAATGTGCACAACTGTTGTATGTGTTTGGGAAAATACACATGGAAATGCACACAGGTCTTATGCAAACAAAGAAAACGTAAACAAAGGTTGGCAATCTGAAATGTAGCGAAGTTGGAACAAATGTCAGAATTTAAAGACTTTCTGTTATACCCATCTGAGGGACATTTGAATCAGTATATGAACGGCCATTAGACAGCGCTGAAGCAAAAGCGCTGTGTTCAGAGGAATGGTGAACGTATACCCCTTGGTGAACATGCATTCAACAGGAGAATGAATGTTGACAAAGGGGTATAAGTTTAAGTGGTTAAGCGACAGGACAACACATCAAAGCTTGATTTTATGGATTTATTATTTATTTATTTATTTATTTATTTATTTATTTATTTATTTATTTATTAGAACATTTTAATGCCGCCCCATTCGCCGAAGCCTCGGGGCGGCTTACAACAAGAACAAGATGGAAGCAAAGCACATGCACATGTTTGAAGAGAGCACTCTTAGTGTAAGTTATAAGAAAGCATAAAGGCAGTTTGTTCAGGAGTAATGAACTTTATTCTCAGTTGAATTTTGCAACCTGATGTATTCAGAATCTGTACAAACCTAGTCAAACAATTGAGCTACAGAAGGAGAAAGAAGTAATGTTGATGATGAATGTGGAGTATCCCAGCTTTTGTTCTTCTTCCAGCGACGAGTGGTTCATGTACAGCCTTCCTGCATCCATGATAATGACCTCTGAGGACAACTTGATTATCAAATGGCTGAAGGACCGCATGGCTGAGATGGAATGTTGACCCTGGGGTGAGCAACGAGTGGTCCCCCAGTTAATTTGGCTGACACTTTCATTGGGTCTACTCAGTTTTGCCAATGTCATCACCGTCCTTTAGTAAAGGTGTATGCATAAAAGCTCACCTCTTCAAGCTGCTGATAAAAACAAGTCAGTGCTGACTGAATTAGAACAAAACTTGTTTTGTATATTGCAGTGCATCTTCATGACACATACACTAAAATGGTAACACTACAGAGAAGATTGGTATGGCTCCTGTGACGAATGAGGTGCAAATTCATGAAGTGTACCATGGGTTTTACCTGCTTCATAAAGTGTGTTACTACCTGCTGCTATTCAGACTGTATGGAAGACATGAGAGAGAGAAGCAAGACTGTTGATGCTTCTCTTCTCTTCCCTTCCCACCCCTTTTTCCTTGTGTGCCATGTACTTTTAGAATGCAAACCTGCAGGCAGGGATTGCATTCTAACTTTTGCATGTAAGGTTTTCTGGCTGAGGAATGGCATAAAACAATTTGCATAAATGGATGAAGGGAGTTGCTGGGCACGGTGCCTGGGGAACCGCAGAGTGGGCACGCCTGATTTAGACTAAAAGTGGATGTTCCTGAATCTAGGTGACCAGGAATAGCCACGAATCTCAGCAACAGGTGGACCTCAGCTGTGAAAAATGTGCTACGAAGCTATGAACACCACGATTCTTCGCAATCCTCGCTCCCTCAGTTCCTGTTTTGCAGATTTACAAAGCTGTGTGGCAAATCGTGTGCATGCATGTCACCAAGATGTTACTTTAATTTGTGCTCACTTTTCATTTTTTATGCTTCTGTTAACCTAAAGTGGTGCTGTACATGAGTGCACCGAAAGCTGCATTTAGTTCATACACATACTGGCATGGATGCTGCTGGCTGCTGAAGGAAGAATGAGCTTTAATGAACCAACAACACTATCACTGATGCATAAGGCATTGTTCTGCAGAAGAAATAGCCTGAGTTGAACACAGTCTAAATGACAAGCCTTGTAGACATGGGCTGAACCAGTAGTGTGAATTTGCCCTCTGGTGAGACAAAGCTGGAGAGATGGAAAAACCATGGCAACAGCTCTTCCTGGAAAGTCTCCACCTTTTCTTACCATTTGCAGAGGGGTTGCAGTTAATGCACCAGGGCATTTCAGTGTTGGGGGATATTTTTAATGTCTTTGTGCTGAGCTCATCCAGTTCCTGGAACAATTAGACACAGGGAAAGTGACCTAAAGAAAACATATTGGTATTCTGTTGAATTATATGCACACTGCCCACTGAAAATCCAGAGAAGTGAGTAGCTCATCACAGAATTCATATCTCTCTTGTTCTCTGTCAATAAAAGGATTTTTATTAATAAATAACAGATTTGCAGGAATTCTGTACATCTTCAAAGGCTTTTGGAGCCATACCATTTTATGCAAATTCTACATAAAACATCCAAATTATCTGTATTTTCTTTTTTCCTCAAATAAGATAGCATGTTTGGCATTACTATATATGTGTGTGTATGTGTGTAGAAATAGAGATTTGTGTGTACACACACACATGCACGCACACATATGGATACATATACATAGGTACATATATGATGTATATCACCTATTTATACAATATCTACATGTTCTGGAAAGGAAGCCTCTGCCACTTTTCCAAAGAGTGTTTACTGTACAACATTCAGCATTTACATTGAAAATACAAGGCACAGAAAGTGTGGTATGAAGCCAAGGCCATATGCTTTGCTTGTCTTCAGGAGGCATCATATTCCTGCTTGTTTGCTTTCATAAAGGGAAACAAATTTCATGCTGCTGAATTTTTCCAAATGTGAGAAGTCTGTGAGGTTAAAGGACTCATTTTTGGGTTGAGAAAGGCAAACAATTTTGGAAGGAAGGAAGGAAGGAAAATCCATCATCAGGAGATTTGGGTGAGGAGGGAACAAAACAGAATATGAATATATATAAAATGAGAGAAATTAGAATCATGATTTGTCTGCAAGTTTATTTCAGGAAGAAAGAGAGGAAAATAGGGCTAGAAATGTATTCTTGTCAGTGATGCCTTGCTGGTGTTCCTGGACAAAAATGTCTTTCAGAGCATGAAGTGGCCCTTTGAGCTTCACTTGGATGAAGAAAACATTTGTACTCCTAAACTTCATCTATTAACAAGCCCAGTATAAAACACAACACAACCAGGGCTGAAGGAATTAATGAGCAGATTGCTCATGAAGCAGCAAATCGCTCTGACTCTCACAACTGAGAATGCTGCAAAAGAAATAGGCAAGAATTAAGCCAGCATGGCCCCCTCCTGTCCTGTCCTTTCCAAGGGAAAGGGTGGGGCCTGCACTGGTAAAAGGATGATTTGTGTTCTAAGTCGGGAGTGGGAGAGGGAGAAAGAGAGTGGGAGAAAGTTGTGGGACCATTTTTAAAGTGTCCTATGACATTAAGTCACCTTTGCTAAGCAAAATGTAGTCCTGTTTGGTTCACAACTTTCATCTCAGAAAACAGGGGGCTGAGGAAGGAATTGGCTGGTGGTTTCTATGGGATGCCCATGCTGTGGCATTTGTCTGGTCTATTTTTTCTTCTTTGGGCGTTCGAGTGTTAAAAAGTCTTTTTATGCTGTGTGTGGCCGTGGTGTCCTGTGCTTCTGGACATAATGTTCTGTGTCACCTTACTTACTATACGGATACCAGCAAGTTACACTTGGGTAACATTTGCCTTAAGATTTTAGGTAAGAAAGATGTTTGGCCCATCAAAACAGGATAACTGCCTTTGCAATGCCAAAAATATGCACTGTGCCAGGAAACGTCCAGGCTAAACTGTTCCTGCTACACTGAGCTGGAATACACAACTTTTTCTATCCCCAAAAATGCAAGATTAGACCAAAGGTCTATCTAAACCAGCTTTCCCCAACCTAGTGACCTCCAGATATTTCAGATTACAAAACCCACCAGCCTCAGATGGTATGGATAATTGTCAGCTGATGGGAATTGAAACTCAAAATATCTGTAGAGCAGCAGGCTAGAGAAGGAAAATTCAGTGCCAACTTTTGCCAGTGTCGGTTGGTCCTAACCAACCTATAAAGAAGGACAGGAGGGGAACTATGCTGTTCCACTGTTGAACTGGCAATTTACTGGCAGGTGCTGCTGAACTAAAGCTGAGTAAGGACTTTGTTCATTTCATATTTTAATATGAATGTACCTGATTCCATATTGTTCAATAAATGTACAAATTGACACTCAGTTATCCTTTGATAGTTCTCCAAATTCTGCAGTATAAAGCTCTAATATGAATTCTGTAGAGAAATGGACATATTATGGATAGCATACGTATGAAATACTGTTCAAAAAGCATTACATTAGGAAATTCACTTGCAAAAATGTACATACTAGGCAAGATTACATACAAAAACACATGAGTTATGACAAATGTGCACAAAACTGTATGAATTTTCCTGCAAACTTTAAAAACAAGTTCTCAAATTTCAGAAAGAACTAAAATTAGAAAAGGAAGAGACTGGAAAAAACCAAAACCAAGAAATGCATCCCTCTGATCGCAGACATTTCATATAACCAACAAGACTAATAGTGAATGGTACATAGTGTAATAGTATTACATGAATTACATGTCAAAAATTGCTTCCAGGGTTCACTTTTATTTGAAACTGTGTCAATGGGGTCATATTTAAAAAGCACAAGTGTACTTGGCTTGCATTGTGGTTACACAAGTCAACTGGAATTGACCACATTTCACAAGGGATGTGTCTTCATCAATTGCAAGGAAGCTCAAATTTTGAACCTTCCCACATCCCAGCTATTTAGAAATATGTTGGCTTAAATAGAGAAGTGAAAAAATAATGGCTTTGTAGAACATTGAAGGGAGAGTTTCTAGCAAAGTTGGAAAGAGGAAAGGCAGTAGTTAAAATAATAGCATCGTATGAGAGGAATATTACCGGTAGATGGATTGCTGGAAGATGGCTCACATCTGTAAGCTCAGCACCAGCCTAATACATGATAGATGTGTTGTCCTGCCCTTTGGTTTGGATGACATATCATCCATTGCCATCATACTGAATGCACAAGGTAGCTCCTAAGGGAATAAGACAAACACAACATTATATAGTAAGCGAGTATAACACCTCATTTCAGAGTGTTATACTACTCTATAGGTCCAAGCAGAGGTCACTGTTGTAATTATATCACCTCCATGCTAAAGTTTCACAAGTAATATCATGTCTAGCTTTGCAGAGACCAAGGTGCATGGGCATTTGTTTTCTTATCAGAAAATGTTAGCTCATATACAGTTCCTTATAAAAGAGCTCTAACCCAAGTGATCAAAAACTACTCAGAGAACTTGAAACATTTTGCAGCACAACACAATTCTTCTGCTTCCAAATCCCCAATACAAAAGAAAAAATCCACAGGAACCCCAGAATGCAGACAGTAAAATTCTAATACATATATTTGCAAGAAGTATCTGCTTGCTTGCTTGCTTGTAGGAAAAGGGCAAAAATTTTAAAAGAACAATGACATTTCTGCATGATTCCCATTCTTTTGTAGTTCATTGTCATGCTTCTAATTCTGCTGTTCTTGGAATCCAACAGAGGTTCCAAAAAAGGATGCTGAGAAGATTTGTTCATGTTAATTTAATTTTTAAAAAATGGGTGAGGAAAGCAGGTTAAATCTACATCAATACAGAAGAGACATCTTCAGGTTAATTAATCTAGAATAAAATATATGTGACTTTAGCATTGTGGAAATACTGCAGAACTGAATAAAAACTGTGTGCACATAGATTATCTAAACGTTTTGCAGTTTATTTAGGTCCATACAGTTGCCATAGACAAAGCAGTTGCCTGTTTGAGGAAACTCTATTCTGGGGGATGAAGCTGCATCAGAATCCAATGTTAGGAGTGAGCTGTGCATGGGAAAACTTTAAAAAAATGAATGATTTTATGTTTTTTTTCAACTGCATTTAGTTCATTTGTAAATTCTGGTTCTTTAGCATTCATTTTATTCTATTGATTTCAACTGAGCAATAATCTACCTTATACTGTCTATAGTTTTGCTATTTGCCAGCTATATGGCATGAATTTTGTGTAAATCTTCCTGATCCCTCACCGTGGTTATCTGAGCTACCCTATTTCTGATAGAAAGGACAAAGCTTTCCTCCTAACCCTAAACCTTATTTTCACTGATACATCAAATGTCTGTCTGAAGTACAAAGACCTTCCCACTATGTCAGTTTTATTAATTTCTTACTTCAATCTTCCTTGTGCTTATTTCTGCAAACTG